GGCTGGAGCGCGGTCGGACTCTCGCCTCTCCCTCAGTGGTCGGTTCGTAGCGAGACCTCGGCGGCCGGGGGCAGCAGCGGCGACATGTCGGACCTGGGGGACTGGTTCCGGAGCATCCCGCTGATCACCCGCTACTGGTTCGCTGGCTCCATCGCGGTGCCGCTTATCGGCAAGCTGGGCCTCGTCAGCCCCGTCTACCTCTTCCTCTGGCCCGACGCCTTCATCAACCGCTTCCAGGTACGGGCCGCACTACCAGTCCCGGTGTGCCCTGCGGCGCCCGCGCCGTGAGAGAGCCCGGTCCGGGTGCGCTCGGCATTCTGGGAGTTGTAGTGAGCGGCAGCGGGCTGGGGGCTGCGGGTGGGGCTGCCCCTCCGCTTGCCTCCGCCGCGCTGAGAGGGAATCGCGCACCGAGACAGCCCCGAGGAGTAACACAGATCATGTCCAGCGGGAGGCCGGGCCTGCCGTCCTGCTTAACCTAGATAAGGCCTTCGAGCTTGGGCCCGAGTCTAGCTAGTACTCTGCTTCCGCAGGCCCCAGGCTCCTCAGCAAGGTGACACAGGGCCCCTGGTGAGCCAGAGAGGGCTGTGGCCCTCGACAGGCCCTGTAGTTCTTCTTGTGTCTCAGTCTAGTGCCTTTTTTGCCTCAGTTTTTAGGGGAGGGGGAGTTGTTCTGTCTGGCACTGATGGTTGTGCCAAGGAACTCTGTAATCATAAAACCTGTGGCAGTGACTTCAGGTGACTTGCCTGGTCTCTGTTGTGCGATGTGTGGGCATGACTTTGGGAACAGGGTTACAGGCAGGTGTGCAACTGTCCTCAACTGCAGGTGACTCTGTAGATACTAAGGCAGAGCTAAAAAAGTGCATCTTTTGCATTTTCTTGCTTGGAATTTGAAAAAGTTTGTGTTTGGAATTGTCAAATTCTGTGTCTAGGTTTGACTGACATAAACTTAACTGAAATTCTGAGGTTTCAGATGTATAGTATCCGTTTCTGGATGCATTAGCAATATCCAGAGGTGTCACAAACTGAACATAGTCTTTTCCTTGCACTGGGAGGTTACAGGTCCAGTGTTTTTTTATGCAGATGTGTAGGGGGAGAGCTCTCATGGGATGAACTGAAAATGAAAACAAAGGAAAAGATCCCAGCCTTTCAATTTCTGTGTGCTCATTATATCTTTGGTGAAAAAGACTGAGTGCAAAAAAAGAAAAAGATAGCTCTATCTGTAGTTTGTTTCATGCATTGTCCCCAAAATGTAGTAGCTTAAAACAACAGCTTTTTGCTCTAGTTCTGTTATTCCTTCTGGAACTGTGATGTTCGGGACCCAAATACTCTATTTGGAAATGTTGCTGGTTAAAGAGCTCATTCATAAATGGCCAGACATTTTCTGTCCTTGGTGCATGCTGCCATGCAGTTGGCTTTGCCCAATATTGATAGTTGGGAGACTCTACAGAATTCTCAGAATAGCATGTGCTGTCTGGAACGGCACACTAAAGGCCATTGTGTGAATTCCTTGGTCTCTGTACAACAGGTAAGAATGGATTCTGCATGGATGCTTTTAAAACAGGGTAGTATCCTTGCAACCATTTTCCTTTTGCACTGCCCTAAAGATTCAGTACTGTGAAGATGTGATGGAAATGATCTGGGAAGTTGTGTGTGATTTCTCTTGTAATCCTAATAGTTTTGCTTATCAGATTTTTTTTTTAAAAAAGCAATTGTAAAAGCTGCTGAAGCAGCAGTAACTGATCCTTGAGCTGTTTTTAATCTCCTTCTTGATCTTCCAAGTAATTGATAACAAATTAAAAGAAAAAAACTGTGCATATGAGTTCATTCTACAGCATATAAATATATCTTTCTCTTTTGATCTGGGCAGATCTGGCGGCCGATAACTGCAACTTTCTTCTTCCCGGTGGGACCGGGAACAGGATTTCTCTATTTGGTGAATTTGTATTTCTTGTATCAATATTCATCACGATTAGAAACAGGTATGTTATCCACTAAATTGTATGCACATGGTGAACTCTGACAGAGGCAACGCATTGTCAGATAGAGAGCTTCTGTTAGGAATGTTTGTGGCGATGGAGTTGTGGCCGTTTCAGACAGAATCATGAGAAAGATGCCTCATCTCTGTGCCTGCTTATGTTGGTCAATGGGAGACGGCTCTGGAAATGGGTTTTCTGTGACTGGCTCCTTCCCTTTAGCAGGGAGCCTTTCTGTTTTGGATCTGCACTTCATACTTCTTTCAGTAGGAGGGCCTGGTGCTTTTAGTCATTGGATTTCAGAAAATGAAGGATAGACACTAAAAGATGATAGATCTGGGGTTTTGTGTCTGATGTCCTTTTACAGGGAAAGATGGTAGACCATATGTAATAATGAGTATATCCATCTTGAGAAAATAACAATGTCAGTTTTTTGGGTTTTTTTTTTAAAAGACAGTGATGCTTACCTGTGTTATTCTGTCGGTTATGTTGAATTGAGAGTTACCTTGTACAAATGAAGTGTACCCCTCTGTCAAATAGAAATGTGAAAAAGTTAAGGAACTAGTTAGATTTTCAGTTGGGAGGAAAAATTAAGAGTGGAAGAAAGGAGATTAGGTAATGGATCATTTATCTCAGAAAAGAGATTGTTGTTACAAGGTTGCTTCAAAACTGGTTTCATTTTGCATTGCACAGTTCATTAAAGCTAGACAAAAATATCTTCCGTGGAAGTAAATAATTAAAGTATTTGCAAAACCAAACTCCTCCTGAAAGCCTTTGTGAACAAGAATTTCACTGTAGTCCTAATGGAGTCTTAGAACTGATGGTATAAGTGGAAATGCATTGCAAGGTGATGTTTGAGAAGTCCCATGGCAAAGAGATCCCCAGTAAACCTGTCATTCAGAAAGTGTTGTGGAATCTCTTTTAAATCATAAGAAGAGTAGCAGGGAAAGGAAGGAGTGGTGCCAGATTGTATTTGATTGTTTTCTTAAGTGAAATTTAGTAGTAGTTTAATAGCTAGAAACGATTCCTCCTTCACTTTGTGACTCTCTGCAGTAGATGAGGAACACCTGAGAGTACTAGCAGTTATGGTGTTCTACTGTGAAAAGCTGTGTGTAGTAAGAGTTCCTGATTAATATATGCAAATTATAAGACATCACTGCTTGCACCATATACTTAAAAAATGCTCTAGTTGTCTATGTGGTGGCAGAAGTCTCATGGAAGAATGTCAATTGTTTCAGCAGTAAATTGACATTCCTGCTGTGCACACATCTGGATTTTGAAACTGGGAAATTAGCTATGTTGTGTGAATCAATGCATTTCTTTTATATTACAGTCATTTTTCTGCCTACAGATGAAATTCTTGGTTGGGTTGGTCCTTCCTCTACAAAAAAGGCTGCGAGTGGGAGGTGTAGAAGTTGCTGATATGTTTACAGGTGGAAATCAGCGTAGGTCTAGGCCTCCTTTTGTCTGTGAAACTGAGGAAGTGAAACATCTATTTTGAGGGCTGTACAGGGTTTTTGAGCATGCACTGGTGTTACATGCTAGTTTCAAATTTAGCTGTCAAAAGTATACATATTTTTTTTACTGTGTTTGTGCTTTCCTCACAAGCTGACCTCTAGCTTCCTGAGGAAAAGGAGATTGATGTGTTTTTGTTTTGTTTATGTTGGAGAATAACATAACAAATATCAACAGAGAAAGCAGAACATGCAGAGTTCACTCCCCAGCAGTACAAATCATCATGAGTCTGCAGCTCTTGTCTGATGATTATACCCCGTGCCCTACTGAAGGACTCAGTGGGCTAGAGCTCACCTTGACACTCTGCTGAGCTTTTTGGCAGTCTGTAGCTTAGTTTTTTTCGATATTTGTGGAAAGTCAACTTAATTTGTCTAATATTCTTGTTAGTAATCTCTTAGATAATGAGAAGTGAATAATATCTGCTTTGTTTTCTTCCTATTCTGGAGGAATTCCTTTGCTGGAGTTTCTACAGGGTTGGTCAGCTTCCCCTCTTTGAGTTAATTTTTTGTATGGCAACAATAGGGAGAAAACTCCAGTTTATGTAGTTCTTCAACTTTAAAACTTTCCAAAAGATTTTTCAAAGTTGTTATTTTTTCCTCCATGTCATGTAACTTGCATAGCTGAACCTAAATAATAAACTTGAAATGCCTGACATAGTTTTGTTTAATACAGGCTGAGTTACTCTAGTTATTCTAGAAAGATAAAGCTTAAAAGTAGATTTTCTTTCTTTAAATTTTTCGGGACATATGAAGTAGTTGTAGGAAGCCAAAGAGTGCTAACATTAAGCAGTGGCTTTATTTCTAGGCATTTTGATGTTTAGTTATTAGCATGTAATTGAGCTTGTTCATGATGAGCTGTGTTTGTCACTGTGTGGTTTGGGTCTGTTTCAGCAGTATTCTCAGGCTTTCCTTGCCTGCATGGAGCTATATGAAAGTTGACACTATGGAGTCTGTCAGGAGTTACAATTTTTATGTTTGTAAGGAGTTGTTGGGGTTTTGTTTTTTAACCCTTATCTCTGCCAGGTCCCAAACTTAACTGGGCATCTAAAGATAATTTCATTCAGTATGACCTGCAGGGAATGTTACTTTATTGTTTTTGTTTCCACTGTCCTTTAAAAATTTGACACATATTTGAAATGGGACATTAGGCAAGCAGTTCAGCTTAGAAGAATGAACAGAATGCACTGCACATGTGTACCTTCCTTGTCATGTATGTTAATTTTTCTGGAGTGTAAAAAACTTGTATCTCTCGAGTCTGACTCGATGATGCAAAGAGGATGCAATTTGCCTAAGTAAGGACTGGTTTTCACATGACTCGATCATTAAACTTGGTGTCTCTGCTTTTGCTGTACAATTGTGTTTCCTTACTGTGTGCTTCTAACTGACAGCCTCTTTTGAAGGATGGGGTCCAACTACATTTTGAACTCTTATGAAGTTAAAACTACTTATTTGCAGTGTTAAACTGTGTTCTTTTTTTAAGTAGAGATGCAGTTTGTGCACTTAATGTCTTATTTTTCTGTCTGTAGGTTGTTCTGTTACAAAGCTTTTTAAAATTAAAAAAACTAAAAATCATAAATAGTAGACTGTATGTAAGTCATCTGTTATTAGCTGAGCTTTTTATAGACTCCCCAAAATAAAAATAAAATCTTAATTTCTTATGAAGATTTCAGTATCTTTCCTAATAATTCTTTTTATTTACAGGGGCTTTTGATGGAAGGCCAGCAGATTACATGTTCATGCTCCTGTTTAACTGGATCTGCATTGTTGTATCCTTCTCATCATCAGACTTTTAATATGTTTCTTCTGTTTCTGCCTGAAATATGTTCAGAGACCAGGTTTTAATAACTAACAGTTTTAAAATGCAGGAAATGTTCACAGGTGAGTTCTTAATCTTCCTGTAAAGGTAGCAAGAGGCTTGCAGGGAGAATACTAATAAATGTGCTAATACAAGTATGTAATCTGGGGACTAGAGTTCTGCTTACATAAAGCTCAGCTCGCGCTGTATGAGCGGCTGGGGTGTTTGCTGTATTGATTCACGTAGTCACTTTCCTGGATTGCTGCATGGGCTAAGAGTGAATTTAGTGTGTTTTAAGATGTTGTGTGCAAATAGGTCTGATCTCTGCCATTCCCTGACTTGAAAATTCAGGTACCTTGTGGAGAGATCCTTTACCTGCTGGGTACAAGTCAGCTTGACTTTCACTGCTGTAAAGCGGTGTTGTGATATCTGCGCTGTGCCAGCTTCCTGAAGAAGCTGGACTTGTTGGTTTGGAAATGTTGGGAAACAGTTTTTCCATGAGCTGTGCTGTTCTGCCTGCATTTTCTTTTAGGTCTTGGATACAAAACTTGGAGGAGTTGTTGATAGACCACGTGGTTGTGCTACCATTCAGAGGGATCTTGAGAGGCTGGAGAAATGGAATTCTTATGAAGGAATCTCATGAAATTCAGCAATGGGCTTGGGGGTCTTGCTGGACACCAAGTTGGCCATGAGCCAGCAATGTGCCTTTGTGGCAAAGGTGGCCACATTTGCCAGCAGGTTGAGAAAGCTGATTATTCCTGTCTGCTCAGCCCTTGTGAGACATATGGGGGCTGCATCTAGCTCCAGGGTCCCAAGTGAGAGAGACGTGGACATACTGGAGTGGATCCAGTGAAGGGTCATGATGATGATTAAAGGGTTGGAGCATCTGTCACATGAGGAAAGGCTGAGAGAGCTGGGATTGTGCAGCCTGTAGAACAGGAGGCTCAGGGATGTCTTATACATGTGGATAGATCCTGGGGGAGGGAGTAAAGGAAATGGAGCCAGACTTCTCTCAGTGGGACAACAGAGAACAGGCACGTAATGAAGCACAGAAAATTCCATTTAAATGTAATAAAGATCCTTTACTGTAAGGGCAGTCAAACACGCACAGATTGCCAAGAGAGGTGGTGGAACCTTCGTCCCTGGAGATGCTCCCATTCTGTCTGGGCTGTTGCTACCTCTTTGTAGCAATTTGCAGGGGCACAGCATGTGGAAAAAAGGGAGCAGTGACATCAGTGTGAACCAAATACAGCCAGGAAAGCTAGTGTGTAGAAGGGCTGTCACCTGTATCAATAGATTAATTTACCTCTAGTTGCATTCCACTGTATGGAGGGATTTACTTTTCTTGCTAGTCCTGTTGAGCCACAGCAGTAACTGAGAAAACAACCTGGGTTTAATGATGTTGTTAAGAAAACCATTCATTGTGTTTGCAAGCTGTTGGCTCTGAGCTATTAGATGAATCTGGTTGTGACTTGATTTTCAAACTGGTCATTTAAAAGCTTCCAGTTGCTTGTTCCCTACATGATGTAAGGAGCAACCTGGATGCATGATCTGGGAAAATGCTTGGTGCCGTTTTATATACATTCATGAACTGTGAAAAGCATTCTGATCATGGCAAAATTCTTCAGCAATTGTTTCTACTCAGCAGTTACAGCAGTGAGTAGATTCTTTGGGTTCCAAAGTAGGAGAGTAGTATTAAAAGCCTGCATTGATGCATTTCAAGAAATTATTTATTTTCGATTACTCAATATATTGATATATTGATTTTTTTTTAAAATGATCTGGTATATCTTTAATGAGAAAACCAAAATTTCAGTCTTAAAAAATAATTAAAGAATCCAGCTGTTGATCTTGTAACATGCTTTTATGCAAGGACTGGTTGAGTTTGTAGTTAGTTTCATCATGGAGGGAAGGCCAGTGCATCCATCAGCCCTCGGGGTAATGACTTGGAGTGGTAGCTTGAGAGGCTACTGAAAAGCAGTTATTGAAGTTAAGCATGTAAGTCTCTAGATCACTGGAGATTTTTCTTTTTTTTTCCAGTGATTAACTTAAAACAGCGTTCCTGTGTAGCATTAATTTTAAACATTAAAAGCCTTTGCATGTGCTTTCAGTGTGTGTGCAGCTTCTTTTTGTTGTTCTAGTCTATCGGTTTTTGCTGTGTTTTCCTTAATGGTGCAATGACAGATAACTGGCTTGGCAATGGACATGCAGGTAAATGAGATGCAGTTTCTTAAGTAATAATCTTATGGAATGTACTGACTACTTAATGACTTTATAGAGAGCATTTATCGACATAACTGCAGAACATAGGCTAGGCTGGTTTAGTTTATCTCAAAATGGATTGCTGTGTGTGTATTGTTATTTTTTTTAGTTTGGGTTAGCCCCAGCTAACATCACAAGCCTGTATCTGACTGTGCCACTCCTAACCTAATTAAGGAGTCAAGGAGTGAAAACTGGCTCTCCGTGCAGTCAGGAAGTATTCAGGCCTTTACTAAACTGGACACAAGATGTCACCTTTGCACTGTTTCTTCTAATTAATGTGGATCTGCATTCTTTTTATCTAAAAATGATTCTTGGGTTCATTTCTCAATTTTGGTGTGACTTTTACTTGCCAGCAGAAGATCTTTTCGTGAAAAATGCAGCTTCAAATCAGAACTGTGAAGTGTAAAATCCTCACAAGAATTATTAAAATAGTGGTCTAAAGAACCAGTTTCAATGAGGAAGTTCTTATTTCTCCAAATATTAAGGGGTGGAAATGGGGGAGTGTTTCCTGGGCACAACAGAGTACCAAATAACTGCTTGTCTTCAGCCTGCCTCTGAAGTTCTCAACATACTCTGTCCCTGTCACCCAAAGCCTGCACCAATATCTCTAATATTCCATATAGTATTGTCTTAGCATTTATTAGATGACTTACCAGGCTCCCCTGGTAGGCAAAAGTAGTGATAGTGCATCTTCAGTCAGGATAAAGTTCTGTTAAGGGCTGTCCATAAGTTTGTCCTTAAATGTTTTTTGCTGTGAAGATGCCACAAAGTTCTTCAAAAGCATGCTGAAATCATGCATACGTTGTCTGAATTTTAGACTGATTGTGTGGATCTATATCCTTTTATAAAGGTACTTTAAATGGTTTTATATCTGCATACAAAGTATATCTTAAAAGAGATCAATTGTTTGATGTACAGATGTGTTTTTGTTAGAAATAAGAGTTTTTTGCTTGTGCTAGTTTGCTTGAAACTGAGAAGATAAGGTAGGGTAGCTGGGCCTCTATTCCCATGTCAAATACTTTCATAAATTAGATATTATTTTGTTTTTCCAGTAAAATAAAAATGGTTTTAATAAAGACGCTAAGGTTTTTGTGTGATGAGTCAAACTGCTGGTGCACTGTAGGGCTCGGGGAGGGCTGGACTGATGCCGATGTGCCAGCTTTAATGTGAAACCTGTTGAATAGTGGCTCCCTTGAAGGGATAAGTTTTAACCTCTCTTTCAGACATGAGCTGGCTCATAGTGTTAAACCAGTTCATGGAAATGTTGCTGGCACAGTCGGTTTTCAGTTCAGAAAGCAGCAAATAGCTAAAACAGTGCTTTATATTTGTTTCACTAGGAATAGTCCAATTAGCTAATACACAGTCACAGTAAGGAGATACTTGAAACAGTTTCATCTCCTGGCATGGAGCAGGGATAAACTCTGAGCTCTACCAAGGTAGCTTTGCCAAGCTGGCTGTGGTACTCTGAAATAGTGATTTACTGGTGTATCTTCCCTCTGTGGTGCTCTGAGGGGGACGTACATGGCAATTCCATGTAGTAACGCTTCATCTGGCATATTAGCTTAGTCCCAGATGAGGTGTTTGGATTAGTCAGTGGAAATAATTGTGGCACAAATATGTCATTGACTCTGCTGTAGGTGTGCTACCAGCCAGCTGGGAGCAGAGGAGTTTGCCACAGCTGCTCTTGTTGCAAGTTGGAGCCCTTTGCTTTTGTATGGTCTTGAAAAAGAGAATGACCGAGTAGGTTCTGTGCTTAGCTTTCTCAGTAGCTTTTGAACAGTTCCATGACACATGATGGCAAAGACTGTGGGGCAATCTTTAAAGATTTTGCTGATGTATCATGCTTGCAAGCCATTTTTGAAGCTTATAGCTCCTGCTGCCTGTTTAAATTTCTTGGGCTTCTGTGAAAGTGATGGTAACTTTTTGCCTTTTTTTTTAACATTGCAGCTGCTGATGATTCCACTCATCATGTCAGTACTTTATGTGTGGGCCCAACTGAACAGAGACATGATTGTATCATTTTGGTTTGGAACAAGATTTAAGGTATGTCAGATGGGATATTGGAAAGGTTTCTGCTCAGAAGATGCACATGAAGGGAGTGAGGGGAAAAATATAGATGTTCTGTCTTATTAAAGGTGTCCCATGCTTTCACGTAGCTATACACTCCTTGAGATGCACCACAAATTTCTTCATGATCTTCTATGTGGTATCACTCAGTGTGTCTTTACTGAAAAGATGTCCCGACAACTGAAATTCATTGGTCTAAAAAGAGGAAAAAAATTCCTGATAAACATTAACATGGATAAAAGTTGAATGCAGTGACACCATAGTGACAAAATGTTGGTATTGTAAATTGTTCTTTCCTGTGTGACCTTGTCTGTTTCTGCTAGATCTTGTAGTGAAAACTCTTTTCATCATTGTTTCCAGACCATTTCAAAATCAGAAATGCTAGGGCTTTGTTTCAGATTTAAGCTTGCTGTGGAACATAGAGCAAAGAAGATGTATCTACTTGTAATGTTTAAATGGGTGTGATTTGTCTAAGAATGTTAGTGGTGGCTCAATTTGGAGTATCCTATCTTGTTAGGTAGAATCTGCTTAAGTTAATATATCAGGATTTGTGTAATGCCTAAAACATTGAGATTATAATCATGCTTATTAGTGCAGTGAGAAGTTGAGCAGGTTTATGTCCTTAACTTGTACTTACAACTTCTTTGTCTTCGTTGCATTCTTTTTCAGGCCTGTTACCTTCCATGGGTTATTCTGGGATTCAACTACATCATTGGTGGATCGTATGTATTTACTTATATGGCCAATTTAAAGTTATAAAAGCTTTTATAGCTGTTGAATTTATGCTGAATTTAGAAGCAATATTAAAATAAGAGGCTTAAAGCTGTATAATCTGACTGATAATGCTCAGTGTCATTTGGTGGTCATTTAAGATAAAAGCAAAGAGATGTGCATGTGGGAACTAGAGAATATAGGTAGGGGAAAGTAATAAGAATTCGGTTTATCTTCTAGCAAATCTGTGCATTAGACCTTTTCCTTACCAAGAGTAACGCAGAGTAAGGAAAGATGGCATACTGTATGACCAGTCATCATTACTGGTTTTAGAAACAAATTTAGCTTGACTCTGATAGTACTGTTACTTCTTTCCCTCACAGTCTTGCCCTACATGATTTTTTTTTTTATTTTTTTTTTTATTTTTAAATCTTGTGGAATGGGGGAAAATGGCAATAACAAGCCCACAGAGTGCCATATGTTCACCTGCTGAATTTGTTGGTCTGTCTTGGGTTTCTTTGATTAAACTCTGTAATGCAGAAATCCCCTTTGTGCATGGTCTTTCTCACTGCTGCCCTGCGTTGGCTGGGGCCTCTTGGTGCCGCTGTAACACCATTAGTGACAATAACAAGTTCTGTGCTTGATTTATAAAGGGAGATAGTATAGCAAAACCAAATTCCCTTTTCTGGCTGTGCTTCCTACTGACTCATCTGTCACTTGAGAAAACTGCTTGCTGTTAGATACCTGCTGTTTCTATGCATGACAGAAGATAGTCAGGGGCCTCCATTCAGCAGTGTTTTTGCAAAATTGGGAACAAACCAGTTCAGTACAGCAGGAGACAGGTTGTCCAGCGAAAACAGCAGTAACTTCTCAAGCTCTGCAGACTATTATTTTAGACACTAAGAGCTGTACGGTCTAATTCCCTGATGGTAAACAATTATTTAATTGCATTTTCTGTACAGACTGTAGAGAAGGCTTGGAAGGGAAGGTGGAACAACCTGTTGATGTGTTGGCACTGAAGGTTGGCACTTCTAAAGAAGTGTTTGCAAAATGCTGAGGGAAGGAAAATTTTCTATGGCTCACGGCCCAGCAATGCCTGTGGCAGGTGAACAGTAGTAACTGGCAGAAGACGGTCACTCATTTATTTTCAGAGAAGACAGCAAGTAAAACAATTCTCTTTTTTTGCCTTTCAGAGTCATCAATGAGCTGATAGGAAATCTGGTTGGACACCTGTATTTCTTCTTAATGTTTAAATATCCAATGGATTTGGGAGGAAGAAATTTTCTGTCCACTCCTCAATTCCTGTAAGCTGACTTTATTCTTTAGCTCACTCACCGTTTGGTTTAATTTTCTGTGTTGTTCATCAGATACATATTTGCTGGGATTGTAAGGCGTAAAATACTTTGCTAAATCAACCTGCTTCAGACTATCATATTGACTGTGCTGCTGAATTGTCAGAAATGTTGAGTTTCTTGTAAATGGCCGATGTGAGAATTCTTTGTTACCCTGATGGATGGCTTGTGTCCTTCGCCCATTCTTAAGAGTGAGAGTAGAAGTCATAGTTCTGCTAGTGAATTGAGCTGTGGTAAAGACAACTCTCTAACAATTATCACATGGTATAAAAATTGTTTTCTCCTGTAAATGATCTTTTACCTGTATTTCCATGTATCATTACAGTAGCTACCAGTTCAGCAACCTGTAACAATAATAGGAGTCAGTTGTAGACTTGTTCAGGACTACAATATGTATTCTGCTTTGCAGTCTGTACCAGTCACCTTGACTGAGACTGCAGGTCTTGTTTTCTGAAGTGCTTTTTCTTGTGATCTGTTCATTGTTTTGGCACTGAAATACTACAATCAAAAGCTGAAGTTTGTAACTAATCCTTTTGGGTTGTAAATCCTTTTGGTTGGACTAGATGATCTTCAGGGTCTTTTCCAACCTTGATGATTTTGTGAGTCTGTGATACTGTAGAGCTGAAATGACTCTGCATTGATGGCATCCCTTGCAAAATGCAAAAGCTGTATTTTAGGACACTCTATTTAGATGGTAGCCTAAGTTGAATGATAAAAGTCTTGTAGCTCTGATTTGCTCTGGCCAGATCACTTGAGCTTTGATTTCAGACAAGCCAGTTGCTTGGTTCTGTTTCCCTTAGTCTGTTTGGTCCTCAGTTCCTCAGGAATGTTCACTTGGAGAGCAGCAAGACGGTTAGATGCTGTGGTAACAGGAGCTTTGCAACTATTAGAGAGAGAGCTATGCTCAGAAGTGATTTGGATTTTTTTATTGTTTTCCCGGGGGAAACAAGGGAGAGATGTTAGGGGAATTAAGTTTGTATCACAGCATTTTGTCTCAACAATGAGGGTTTTTTTCCCTGTGTTTGGATTATTGTATCTAATCTATCCCAGAGATGGAAGTTCCCCAGAATTCCCATTTCTTAATGTGCTGAGATCTTAGATTTGGAAAGAATTCTGTGAAGTACTGTTGTGAAAAGCCAGTTTTATTTCAAAGTCTAGCAGCTAAAAGGAATTGCATGGAGAAGTAGTCTGGCATTTACCCCAAAGGTACAGCTGTTTCTCAAACTCTTTCCTTCTTGTCCTAGGTACCGCTGGCTGCCAAATAGGAGAGGAGGAGTGTCAGGGTTTGGTGTCCCACCTGCTAGCATGAGAAGAGCAGCAGAAGATCAGCAGGGTGGTGGAAGACACAACTGGGGACAAGGTTTCCGGCTAGGTGACCAGTGAAGAACTCCTGCCCTTGGAAAAACAGCAACTCTTTGGTTTTAAATGGATGTAGAACCAATCCTTCCTGGTGCAGAGAATGCTTAAGAACTGAGCTCTCTGTAGTACTGTTGGATATAACTGATTAGAAAGAATGGTTCAAGAGAAAATTAAAAACTCCAGAAGGGAAAAATGTAGATCTTTCTCCAGGTTAGCCAGTAGTGTCCCAGTTTGATTCTGCCATTAAAAAAAGCCTTCTTTATACAGTATTGTCTGTCTGTTGCAACAGGCATCCATTATGCCATCTTGTTCCGTGATGTGATGGAACAAGCTAATGGTGTTCTGTCTCTCCTGGTACGTTAAATGCTTTGTTGACTGTGGTAAAGTAGGAATTCATTGTGAGGCAGATGGATCAAACTAACCCCAAGTTTAGGAAGCTGAATTTTTCCATAGCTGTGCTTAAGTCTCAGGGCCTTTGGAAGCATTTAAGTGATATCTCTGATGTATTCATAAAGCAAAGTGCAAATGTTTCATTTCAATTATTAAGCTGTGTTTGAGGGGAGTTTTTTCTTGCTGTGCAGCATTTGTCCTAGCTACTACAGCATGGGCTGGGCAAGGCTAAGGATAAGAGGGCTTCGTTTGAAATGGCAATAGATATTCAGAGAATTGAAATCTCTGAACATGTTGTGGCATGTTACAAGGCTTGCTCTGTTTAAACTGAAGTTGTCTGGCTTGTTTTTTTTCCGTGAGATCTGTGAATTCTTGGCTTCAAGGTTTCTATTTTGATTGCAAAATTGGGTAGCACAAATACTACTTAAACTAGAAAAGGAAACATACCGTTGTGGTTAATGTAAAGGGTACTGACTGCAGCATTCTGTCTGTTAATTGAATCTTCAACTTTCTCTTAAAAGCTTTAAGACATCGAAGAATCAAAGGTGGAAATAAAGTTTTCCAGTGTCAAGACACAGTAGAACAGATTGCTTTACTACAGGACTCTTTCATTGTCAAGTAAGAAATTATGTACACTGTTTTAGTATCTGTACTTTTTTGGTAAAACTTTTTGATGTGGTAAAGGGAATGATTCTGTACAGTAGTTTTTCCTTGTACTGGGTTCTCGTGGGCAGAGCACGGGGCTGAGATGCAGGAATGCTAGCTTGTTACTGACTCACAGTATGGACTTGAGCAAACTTCTTACTTATTTCAGTTTTCCCAGCTGTAAGGAGGAGGACTCATGCATCTCTCGCAGCATTCTTGAAAGGTAGCTGTCCCCCACTCCCCTAGGTGGGAGCTGCTAGTGAGCAGTGTAAGGGTTAGGTTCACATAAATGACAACGCTTAAGCTAGGAACAGAATTACCGTAAGCTTAACCAAGACTTCTGAGTTGGAATGTTGTTGCTTACCTTTTGTTTTATAGTTGGAGGAAGAAGAGCATCATCACTAGGATGAGATTCAGGTCTCTGACTGAATTTCCCTTTAGCATTCATCTGTCTTTTTACTGGGTAGGTAAGGCACAGAAAACTGCCCCAACTTAGGTATCTCAGGTATCAGTAAGTAGGTGAAGTGAATCTGGGCCAAAACATTTTTTCTTTGTTTCTTCACTAAACCTGGGTTCTGAAGGTTAAAAAACTTGTAAATAGTACATGATGTGAAACTGAGTGACAAATAAGCAGTCAGACTGGAAGTTTTCAGCTGGCTTGCTTGAAAAAAATGCATGCTCCATTTCTTCACTGCAACTCAATTTTGTTGATTTGGCTCATGGGAAAGTGTGAAAAACTGATAATGATCATATTGTGTGCTTAGGTTTTACAGGAACTTGGAGTTCAGAAATCACCTGCCATTTTTGTCAATTTAGTGATGGCTTTTAAAGATGCTCTTGTCTCATTTTATAAAATGGAAGGTAGAAAAGAGGACTGCAGTGCTGTAAATACTAATCAGTCATTGACCAACAGCTGTTATTTGATGCAAACTTGCAAAGTCCAAGAACCATCATTTTTATAGGAGTCATGATGAAGCTGGTCTCTTTAATCATAGTAGTATCACTGTCTCCAAAGCATTTGTCTTCGAGTCAGGACCTAACTGTTAAGTGAAGATGCAATTGTTTGTGACTCAGCTAAAACCCTGGCACAGTCAGATTGCAGATCGTCTTCGTAAAGAAGGCCAGAAGGAAGGCTTGAGTGGGAGGAAGCATGGCAAAAGTCATTGTCCTGGCTGAGTGCACTGTGCTAGGTCTTGCTTTCTAGTACATCCTCCTTCTCTAAATTAAGAGGAAAAGCTTTGCAAGGAAAATAGAGTTCTGGTAAGTCTTGATTAGCTTTTGAGCTGCTTCAGGTCAATTTACCTTCGTTTATGGAAAATTCACTTCAGAATTCCGTATTACGAGCTCAGTTTGTTCGTTTTGCATTTGTCACTTGACCTGAAGCACTGTTTGTCCTCCCAGCATACACTGACAATGGCAGTCTCTTGTTAAATGAGTACCTCCTTTCTTATTTTGTACAGATAATTTCCCTTTTTGTAATCAATTTTTGTTGGCAAAGTTTTAAATTAAAGTTTTAATCTCTCTTACTGTCTCTGTTTCGCTAAATCGTATTTCAGCTTAAGACAAGTCTTGTGATCTGCACGTCTCCAGGAAATGTCTGACAGCTGCAGTGTGACACCACCTCCTGCTGTTGATAAAAGTACTCAAGAAAATGACCTGCTTTTGGGTGGGAGTCTTGTCTTCTTTGATCAGTTGAAAAATCGTAAAGGCATTTTCTTTGTCTCTGTTTATCACCATGAGTTTTGACAGTCTGTGTCCTTCCTGGGCTATTAACATTTTACAGCTTTTGTATACTTGATCATTCATCCTTTATTGTCCTCTGGGAGGAAGTATCCTTCTACTCACGCTCCAGCTTTGTGGAACTGATAAGGGATCACTTACTTTTCCACAGGTAAGCTTGGTATTCTGCAATACCCTCTCTGTCCAGCCAAATGTGCACAGCTGCCAGAATCCATTTGAGGGTTTTATCTCAACTGATTTGGAAACACACTGAGCATCCTCTGAGTGACTCTTCTGGACCTCATTGTTCATCTGACTGCTCTTTTCCTGTTCATTAGCATAGAGACACCAAAGAAGATCATGGACTTGGTACATAAGGCACGGTGTGAATTTGTTGTGCTCATTGAACCTGGGAAGGCTTGGTCCATTCTAAATACGCCAGATAGAACAGCGTGGCAAGTGTCTGCCTTTCAATTTTGCTGCAGCTGCGTAAAGAGTCAGCAGAAGAGCCAGGAATATGAAATCAAATGCTTCTAAAGTGCTTCATCTTTCACTGCTATCGCTTTGTCTTGGTGACAGCTCCTTCCTCAACACAACTTGGTAATGTGGTGTTGCCAGTGACTTAATGAGAAACTGGACCTGTTGCTTCATTCTGTTATCTAATTATTGCCTTAAGAAAACTAAGAAGCTTTAATTTTCAGAATAGCATATTGTTTGCAATACTACATAAGATACTTTCCGTGTTTATATATCACTATGTACCTTATGAGGGAGGAAGACTGCTTTGTCTTGATGGTTAAGGTAGCGAACTGGAGAGATACTAATTTACAGTCTGAAGCTTCTGATATAACAAGTCACCTAATGGCTTTGTAATCCTGTTTTGCATCCATAAAATGAAGGTGATTGATATTCTCCCATGTTCTGTGCAAGGTTTGGGATGATGGATCAATTTGTATTTGCTGTAGTACGGCAGAGCGCTAATTTTGGTGAAGATGTTCTTGGCATTGCCATCACCTGCAATAGTAAATGGCTTTTCTTGTTCTGTGCATCACTAGATTCTTATTTTGCTATGGATGATAGTAACAGTGTGACTAGAAATTCAGAATTGAGTCTGTTGTCGTGATTTTATTAATTAAGTTAAATATGTAATATGTGTATAGTAAGCAGAAGTACTTATGTCTAAAAGGTGATGATGTGTTGTTTCCTAGGACTGAAAAGATGACAACACTTCAACTGCTTGTATTTTTTCAAGCACACTTTTTTGGTGATGAAGGGAGTTCTGTCTGCAGCAGTGGCTCACCCTTTTATCATCTGGAACATGATCTAGGAGTGATTACAACACTTGTGAGCTAAAGTTGCATAAAAGAAGCTGTAACTGTGGGATGTTTGCAAGGCCTTTGCAGAATCTTGTTGATGTTGGAGGGGAGAAAAAGTGATGATGAAACCTCAATTCTGGTGCCTGGAGGTGGTTTGGGGCTTTGTTTTGTTCCTTCCCCCAGAGACAGAGCCCCAGAAAAATGCCATTAGACCTCAGATCAGCTCTTAATGCCAAGTTTCTCTAGACTACTGACCAACCATAAGTCTCATGTGATGAAGACCATGGCAACTGGGAGTCAGTATTTAAAATCAAAACCACCACAAAGCAGTCTTCTTGCATCTGAATGTTTACATTTATTTCTTGAAGGAGATGTATGTGTTTAGTCCTGGATTCGCCATGGATTAAAAGACAGTGGGTGGATACCTGTATTAATGGTTTCATTGACTTGTCATTGTAACTGGAGGTGTGAGGATGCTGCCTGTGCCACGCCTTGGGCTTGCTGAGTTTTCTGGTAAATCTATTTATGTTACAAGAGTTCAGGTCACTTTGCGGTGGCTAGTTAAATGTAGAAAGTTTCTTTTCAGTAATGTTTCCCTTTGCTTTTAAGTTAGTGTATTGGTTAGCTGTACTTAACCCTAACAGACCCCTCGGCCTGTTTTAAAATCAGAATGCCCTCACCTACTCCCAACTGGAAAGGATTTTTGTTGCACTTGTTGCACTTCATTAAGTTGCACTTCATTAAGACTTACTTGACTGGCACTGCTCAGTGTTAGTGCTGTAAAAACTCTAGCGGGCAATCAGATACAAAGTTTATTCACAGTCACAAGAGAGAAGACTGAAGGGTCTTCCTATTGCCCATCCCTCCCTGTGCAGTGGGGCGGTGTGCTTCTCTTGTATGAGACCAGAGGGGCTGCTGTCCTCTTTTGTGGTCCATGTTGTGCCCCTCTTGCATAGTGCTGTTCTATACAGAGGAGAGGGTCTATGATCAGTGCAATCAAAACTGTTTAGGTTTCCTGATGCTTGGGTAGTGGTGTGTGCTCATAGCCCCAAGCTGTTGGGAGCAAATACTGTGACAGAGGAATGCAACTCAGGTTATATAATTGCTTCTTTTTTTTAAATGAAAATACAATTTTTGTATGGTGTTGGTGGATGTATGAGGTAGAAAAGCCTAAAGTACTGATTTTTTGAAGAAAAAAAAAAAATATCACTCAGGAAGGTATCTAAAGATGCCAGTAAGTTGTTTTTTAACTGGACTTCAGAATAGGAAGAAAAACAATTATCAAGGCTTGTATTCATTTTCTGATCAAATAATGTTTTTCAGAGTGATGTTTTTCCCAAATATGGGCTCAGAAATTGGCAGACTCTGTTCAGGCTGCAACACCTGTCTCTGTCCTCATCTACTGAATCCTTAACCCCACACTGGGTAGAGGGGCAAGATGATACACTGGTTAGTATTTGTACCTGTAACTGGACTCAGCGGAGAAGCCTTTTGCTAGAAGCACATGCCTGTAACACTGCTTTACCTGTCTCTTTAAGGAGTTGTTTACTGACTCTCAACTGCCTGTGCTTAGTGCTGTTACAAGTTTAAGCAATTGCAAAAACAAAATGGCAATGTGTGTGCCTTGGGTATTGGCCTTGTTTGTTTTAGGGGCTCAGGCTAAGGAGTTAACTGTAACTGATGTTAATGTTTCAGTATTTTCACTTAGGAGCTTTTACGTACAGATTAATTTTCTTAAAAGCTGATTCAGATTCCAGATGCTAAAGAGTTTGGGTTTTTTAGTGTTTAGATGAGTAGGAAAGTTAGTTTTGTCCTGTTCTCTGTTCTGTCTCGCCCTTCTTCCCCAAGATATGTAATTTAAGGTAAAAATCCAATTAACGTTGAAAAAGTATGCAAATATTCTGGGGCAGCATCAAGAAGTTTGAATACCCTGAAGCTTTATACAACTGATGGCATAAAGAGCTTTTATTGTTATTTCAGCCTTTGTGTTGTGTAAATGCAGAAAATCTTGCAGAGACTGATTATCTTAGAAAATCCTGGTCAGGATCTATGATCAGGAAAGCAAAAATTTTTCAAGAGTTCATACTTTTGCTGAAATTAGAAGTGCTCTAGATGATGCAGTACAGCAATATTTACTTTTTTTTTTTTTCCCCTACTCTACAGTTCTGTTTTCAAACCTAAACGCAGTCTTCACTTGTTCACAGGGACAGATGAGTTCCTCTCTAGCTATGTCAATATCTGGTTTGGCTTCAGTAGTCCAAGATGCATGTAGCTAGGAGCAGGGGCTTCCCAGGGAGACCAGCACACCTAAACACAAGAAAAATAATCTGTGGGAACTGAGTCAAGAGGAAGGAGAAGACTGTTGGGTGTGACCTGACAGTCAACTTTCTTTGACTTTTCTTAGTTGGCTGTTTTGAGCTAGTAGGGTTGCACAACCCAGAAGAGAGTAGGACAGACAAGGATGAAAACGTTGCTGAATAGTTTTGAGGAGTGCCTGGTTTGGCCACCTCTTGGGTACAGCCTTTTTTGAGGAGTTTCAGGGAAGCCTCTTGGGATGTTAACTGCTGTGTAGGCTGTAGAGGGGAAGGTAGCGCCTGATCTGCAAATAAAGGGGCAAAACCTTGGTGTGTGCAGAGAGAAGGTTCCTAGCTGGAGAGCAGACTTGTGTGTGCTTGCAGCATGTGGAAGTTTCACTGGAATAGTATCAGAAAGAAATTGTGTGTGTGTATAGGGGGAGGTTTTGCAACATGAGAATATTTCATTTGGATGATGCTGATGAGGATTAAATGTTTCAGGTTTTTATTTCTAAAATGACTTTTCAGTTAGGTTAGAAGATATGATAGGTTTTCTGTTTGCTTTTAGAGCTCAAATCAACCCTTAAAAGCTGAAATTGGAACCTACTGTTTTGATTGGAGCAAATCACTTCTGCAGCCTTTGTTTCCACAAGTGGCGTGGTGGTGGCTTTTTACTGCAACAAGTTAAAAGAAATTGGTATTTCTGACTCTTGCCTGAGACGGCACTTGCATGTTGGAAAAAGGTCTAACTTCGATTATTGTCAACAGCTTTCTGTGAGCCTACTGTCTGTGAGCAGGGAGTACCTTGAGAGGTTGAAGAACCTATAGCTTCTGGGTGGAGAATTTCTGCATTCTTGGTGAAAGTTTCCTAGCATGTCTGCTGCTCTCACTGTGGTAGTTACAATCCAATTTTTAATTTTCCTGTGTATTTTAGTTGGAGTAGTATTATTTCATTTAAAGCTCCCTTCCCTCTTTTTGATCTGAAACCACACTCTAGGAATTAGGGTCAAATTTAATGTTTCACAATAGCCCAGGAGGAAGAAGAGAGGGGTATTCTTTGCTCTACAGCATTGTACCTGCACCTGCTGCCTGTGTTCTGCAGAGGCAGGGAAGACTTAGAGGAATCATAAGATGCACAGTCAAAATGTAAATCCTCATCAATTTAGAAAGCCTGAGCAGGCTGTAACAGGGACTCTATCTGTTGCCTGCCTTGACAGCCATCATATACAGAGAGCTCCAAACCATTTTCAGAAGTTGAGTCTTGATACTTAAAATCATGTGCCCAGTAGCAATATTGGTTTTATAGCAATTTATAATCTTTTCTTGCCTCCTCTGTTAGCTGTCATAGAGGCAGTAAATTACCAATCTCTTTTTTTTTTTTTTTTTTTTTTTTTTTCCATCCCCCGTAGGTGATAACCAGTTTAATACCTCCTCCCTTGCTTACATCCATCTCTGTTTTCCATATAGCAGCCACTTGTTCTCAGATGGTCTGATGAATGTAACTAGTTAAACTCAGAGTAATTGTCCTCAAATGGCATACTGGCTTTTGGAGCCTGCTGCTGCTATTTCAGAAGAAGAGCATTTGTGCTTTCAGTCTTACCCATTTTTTTTTATAGCTATACTAATTGTCTAATGAATTCTCCAAACATCCTCGTTTCTGCTCCTCAGAGCTACCCCATGAAGACATACATGGGCTGATTTGGGAGCAGAGGGGAGTGTGAAAGGCCACAGCAATGGCATATCACTGCAGAGATACCACTCTTCCCAAGCAGAGGGAAAGCTATCATTAACCAAAAGGTGAGCTCTGCTTGCTTCTCACCTGGACTGTCTGGCACTGGGAGATCTCACCAGGGTGGACTCCTTGGACAGACCATTGCCTTCACAAGAGATGGATTTTTGGGGTTCATACAGCCACCTGTTAAGAAACAGCTTCTCTCATCTCTAACAATGCATATTCCTTCTCTCTTGCACCCATCACTGTGCTTTTCAAATAATGAATTATGCTGTGTAATTTATTTTTTAAGAAAGGAGAAAAAGAAAGGGCAGTGATAAAAGTTGATTCTATTTAACCTTCCTGAGCAACGTGATAGTATCATTGAAGGAGAAAAATCCTCTATCAATCAGACGTGTACGTGGTGTGGTGATATTGCACTTGAAGGTCTAGTAAATCTCTTCAGAACTGTATCAGCCTAATTTCTTTAAAGCAGACAGATAACAATAGACCCTACAGCTGTATTATTTGGTTGGGTAGCTAAGTGGATAGGGGGACGTTTTAGCTGGATGCAGTCCCTGTGCTGAAGGATCTCAGATAGCTCTGTAGTTGCTATTAGAGCACAGCTCACCGGGACCAAGTAATTACTGTATAATTTAATGCCAATACAAACAACATAAGCTAATGCGTTCACTCCCCTATAGAAATGCTTTGTCCTCTAAATC